GAGATGCCAGTGCTCTTAAACAAACTTTGCCTATCATTTGAAATAAATATGAAATTAATATATATGTCTTTATAGACTTGTAGTATTCAAGTGTTATGTTTTCTTCTTCAGCCATGGAGTATATGATCTTTGGATAGGCCTAACAGAGGACATTGGAGAGTACAACACATATCCACGATTCAAGTGGTTGGATGGGGATCCATCTGCATATCTTAGGTGGTGGAATCGTTACAAGCCAGATAATGGACGGGGTAATGGTGAAGAAGATTGCACAGCTGTCTTTCCAAATCATGAGAGATATTGGGAGGATTTGAACTGCAATAATACTGTAGACTTTATATGCAAAAGAATGGCCGAGGGTGAGGTTTCATATTACTTTTTGTAACCAATCATCTATATGCCACTAATATAATTTCTTTCACTATTTTACTCCATTATAAAGTGTTAAAAGAGAAACAATGTAATAAACAAACAGTTTTTACTTCATAATAGGATTTCTGCTTTTTGTGAGATTATAGCTAAATCTGGAATTTACTCAAATACTATTTTGAATGGTATATGAACATAGGCTTTCAAGAGTTGAAAGCCCATGATATGAATGTCCAATCCTTGAGGACACCATAATCAAAGAATTCTTGACTGAGATGTATATTTTAGATGGTTGCGAATCTGGGTGGAGTTTTTACAATGAGAACTGCTACAAGGCATTCCCCAGTGCCCATACCTGGTATATGGCTGAAGAGTACTGTATAACAGAGGGAGGTCACCTAGCCAGTATGCATGATGAAGCTGAAGATGACTTCATACAGAATGTAGCATCAAATGGGTAAATTGGCTGTAGATAACAGCAATACCAAACCCAATCAAACAGCCATGGCTGCAATTTTTACAAAATCCCTCTATTACTTTTTCAGTTTTACAAAAATCAACTTAATCAACCAACTTGATCAATATCCTTTACAATTTTTTGGTATTAAAAACATATTAATATTACAGTTTTATAAATGTTAGAACCTAAAATACTGTAAAATTTACACTAAAATGATGGACATTTTGAAACTGGGGGCCATTTTGATAAGTTGAGTAGAACTCGTACTCCCATTGGGGCATATACATAAACAATAACGGTCCGAATGAATTTTGTCATTGCCCAGATGGATGGAACTGTTCTCTATGTCCTCACGCGAACTTTGTTGGATGGGATAAAAAGAAAATGTCAACATGTATACTGTCTATCTATGATTATGATATGATAATGATATGATAGTTCCATTTACTGAGTAATATCAGATTTTTAATTGTAGTTCTTAATTATATCTATATTTAATTTTAGTGGTGTCACTGGTTCATACTGGATAGGATGGAATGATCAAAAAGAGGAAAACCGCTGGGAATGGTCTGATGGATCATATGAACCATATACAGATTGGCATATAGCTGAACCAGGACTGGGTAACTGTACATACATCCATAAATGGTGGTGGGAAACTTATCCATGGCATTGGGATGCTACCTCATGTGCCTATGAAAAACCATATGTCTGTAAAGGTGTCCTACCAGATATTGATGTCGTTTGTAAGGATGATGCAGATAATTGTCTGCAGCTTTTGGAACACATGCCAACCTTATGTTCTGAAGAGAATGACTTTGCCACACGTTATTGCAAGCAAACCTGTGGAATATGTTCACAGGTTAAAGGTAAGTACATTTGAATGTTGCATAAGAGCTCAAAATTCTTACCATTGAGGGTTTAATTTAAACTAAATATTCCCCGTTAGATTTCATCGTTTGATTTCAATGATTTCCTAAATAAAAGATGCAAGCAGCATAGTCTTGGCATGTAGTCTTCCATTGATTCAAATTGATTAATAAATATTACCGATTTGTTTTGAAGAACAAGATCCTTCAAAGATTTCTTCCAATGGCCGATGTGGTACAAACTTTCATGACACTGAGTGTCCAATTGCTAGTTCAATCCCAGGGTGGGATGGAATCTACCCCTGTTGTAGCTCTAGAGGTTGGTGTGGCAAAGAGGTGGCACATTGTGCATGTTCTGGCTGTGTAGACTATAGGGAGAAATATGCCTCTTCCGAAGGTATAAAATATACATTTTACATGCATCATTTGTAGGTAAAGTTAAGGCACAATGAAACTCTCTCATTTGGGTAAAATTTCAAAGAACGTATTACCTTTTTAAACATTGTCCATTTTTGAAATAACATTAGACTCCATTTTACAGCATGTGCACAGCTTGGAAATGTTGAAAGTGCAATGGTTGTTTCTGGAGATGATTCTTTGATGATTGGTGACAGTGTCACATATGAATGTAATGATGGTTATGAAATTACTAATGGGTTCCACTCTATGGCATGTACTTCCATAGATGGTGTTGCTACAGTTGTACCAAGAATTAAAGGATGTAAGGGTAAGAATATTGTAAGCTAAAATATAACAGCAAGAAGGCATATGGTGGTATGCAGATGTCCTACAGCAGCTGTAAGATAATGGAGGGCAATGTAATTTTGACTTTTGTAAACTGCCAAAAAAGCAGAAAATGTCAAGTAGTGAATAGTATTTGTTAAATGCAAAAAGTTGATACAGAGAGATATATGTAACAAATGTAATAATATGATTAAAATAGGCCAAAACTGTACAGTATAATACAAAAAATATATGCTGCATTAAATCAAACCTCTAAAATTAATCTTGAGCCTGGTCCCAGATGCTTGACACCATGAAATTTATATATTTTTAGAACAAGACCCTTCAATAGTAAGTCAAGATGGTAGATGTGGGCCAATGTTTAACGACCTTGAATGCCCCATTGATTCCCCTATACCTGGCTGGGATGGGATCTATCCATGTTGCAGTACACATGGTTGGTGTGGCAAAACAGAGACCTATTGCAGAAACATAGATTATAGGGACCAGTATGTTGTAACAGGTATGGGAATATTAAACGCCTACAAGGCATTCACATGACAAAATGTCCTCACCTTGTAATTTGTTACAGACGCCAAACGCCGTCCATAAAAACTTACCCATTACCCATTGAGACCATTTCCGCCTACAATATGATGGTCTATTTGGTAAACAACTCTGAAGCAACTATAATGATAAATAAACTAGAATTCTTTAAATGTTACTTCTATTTACTTTTGGCCAAATGTCTCTCATAATTGTCATGATTTTCATAATTTTTAATAATGATTCTGTGTTGGATTAGTAACTCCATTACACTCCAAATATTTGATAAAAAGTACTCACATTGAATTTTCTTTTATAGTAAAAAAGCATGATTCAAAGTGTGTCCCAGATATGATATTGCATTGAATAAATGAATTATCATGGGACCCATAATATACAGGTTATTGGTATTCATTTATTTTCAGACTGTTCTTCAAACGTCCCTAAGTGTGAAGGTAAGTTGTTTTAAGTCAGCAAAATTATTCAAAACCAACATTTTATACATAGTGCTAACAAGACAGTTTTTTACTGTAATAATGAATTTTGGATACTGTGTATGTAATGCAGTTTGTTAATCTTCCATTTCTTAAAGCATCATCAACTGTACCAATTTACCAAGAAAATCGGATGATGAATTACGGCACTGTTGATGGTCCAAACTGGCTGACTGTGATTGACATGAACACTCTACGCATTACAAGAGGAGGGGGAATCTCCAAATGGGTTATTTACTCCGAGGTGTACACAACGGTTCACATGCAAATATGGCGTCGAAATGAGTTGTCATTAAATTTCACTTTAGTGGGATCAAATGAAGTGTTAATACATCCGAGAAGAATAAACACATTTCATATAGAAGCTGAAAAGAGAATTCAGGTAATTCAATGTTATGAATGTTTGTTACATAACAAAAGTTGATTTTTATGTCAACGTTTTATATTAGATATAGTTTCACATGCTTTTTAAAGTGACCAGGGGTATATACTTGTAGAGTGGGCTTTAATATTATGTAACATTTAAATTTTGGTTCCAGGTTCAACCTTATGACAAAGTTGGTTTCTTCTACGCTGACAGCCCCGCTGGTATCACATATAAGATGTGCAGAACTGGAACTCCTGGTGTACTAGATGGCATGGTGTGGCAAAGCCATACTGAACCAGACAACATTAAAGTTGGTGGCTGGGTTGAACTGAATGAACAACAATGTCGGATTTATTCAATTGGGTTTGAAATTACCCCCTAGTTAAGCAGATTAAATGAGACAATCACCAAACTGACAAACTGAATGTAAGAGGTCTACGATACAATAAGTATCAAGAAAAAAATTATACTAATTTTAGCACAAGTGTGAAACCTATTTACTCAAACACCTCTCTACTCTGAACACCTATAATTTGAAAAAAATCTAAAATGTGAACACCTGCTACTCCGAGCACTTTTGGCTGGTCCAAAAGGAGTTCAGATTAGACAGCTTTTACTGTAACACATGCTAACACATAAAAATTCAAATGAGTATATTATTGTTTTGCATTGTTTATAGTATTTTATATTACATATTTATGAAAAATGTAAAAATAGAGATGTCTCAAAAATTGTTACAATTTTACAATATTGTTTTGCTCTCATCATTCCATGGTGTGCATATTTTCTTAACTCAAATAGTCGAATTCCAATCAATTTACCATACACTGTATATCATATGACATAATGTAAACAACTTAAATTAACGTAAATAAAGTTGATTTTTTTACTAATAAATCAATGACTTTTTTATTCACCACTCTTGTCAAAATAGCAATTCATCATCTGGACATACACACATGAGTTTTCACAATATCCCCCTCCAAACCTCATTTGTTGGGATAATAAAGATATGAGTTATAGTTTAGAGTGGCTAGGGTGTAAAAGATGCAATAAGTTGTGCTGCTTTGTAAAAAAATGTGTGAAAATAGTGAAAGGTGTTCTTGCAAATGCACTTTGCAGGCAGTGTCTCTAGTGTCAGAGATTGGATTGAATAAAACAACAATTACATACCTGAGACAATAATTGTGGCTATGACCCAGCAGTTGGACAGAGAAAAGATTTGCAGTGCAGCATCATTCCATACCTTGATGAAATAAAATTACAATATATTACTGAGTGTAATGTTTACAGTAAAATCTCTATATCAAAACACCATCTTATCTGAACATCTCTTTTGAATGCTTTTTTATCAGTCCCGTGCTTCTATTTTTAAGATTTTCCAATTTGGTTTCTCACTGGAATGACACAAAAAATAATTCTATTACTTTTAATATGTGTCCTCATTAGGATCAAAAAGTATAAAGTGTATAATACGATGCAGTCATAATATGAGAGTTGTAATGAAAGCTGTTTGGGACAACTTTCCCAAATGACTACTTACCTTCGCATTTCCTAGGCTCTGCCAGTCAGGCTGAAGGTAGAATATGATTCCCTGTCCCGCATTATCTAAATCGCCCCACGTATAAGTAGGATATATAGTACCACATAAGGGAAGGTGGCTGTAAAGTACACGACCTGCAAGAAAACAGAAATATAATGTAACATATGAATTCATACTTTCTTTTTTCTTGATTTAATCAGGACATTAAAGTGTGTTTTAATGTTACATATAAAGGATACATGGACATTTAATCTATTATTCAATCAGTAAATTGAAATTATGAAAACCCTGTGCATTTTCAAAATAACCCAAAAATATAAATCAAAATGCATAAATGATAATTAAAATAAGCTAACAAAGGTATATTTAGTCTTTATGTTATATGTATAATTAGGGGAAAAGCTAAAAAAATAATGAAACTGAAACACAATGTCAGAATGTCAACACTGTATGATTGGATCAGAGGTATTCAAACGTGGGCATGTCTTCGACATGAAATAATTGTAAACCTGAGACCTTATTGGTCAAGCAACTCATTTGCAATTTGTATTTCAATCTATATTTCTATTCTGTTGCAATTCAAATCTTTTTGTATTCACAAAAATCACACTTATTCGCATAAAATATCATTGCGAGTTTGCTGGATGGCGAAGTTTGCATCTTCAAGGCGATGAAAGTTGTGAAAACAAAATAAAAGTTAAGAATGTGATTTGACAACAAATAAAATTTCAACTTTTGATAATATTTTTCATAAAAGTTAAGTCTCAAAAATATGAAAAAATAATCCAACTATCTTATCATAAATTGCACCTTTAATAGTCCTAAAGATGTTATATTTGGGGAGGAATCAAATGAGAATACACTGGTTGGTCAATTGTGAAAGAAGCTCAATAAAAGGAACATGATTTGACCTTTTTTAATTTAATGTTCTTTTGGAGTCAATGTTGTGTTATTTTTTTGAATGGTGGTGCACATTAAGTACATGTTGACAAGTGAATGATAAAATATGCTATATCAAGTCCTACATAAACTTTATCTAAGCTCTCCCTAACAAGGCCAAATTGTCCTCCGAACGCAGAGTTCCAGACATCATCCACTAAGTTCTTTCCTTCTTCCAAGAAGAAGGAGGTACTGGTTCTAGAGGCCTGTGTTCCGAGGATGGGTTAAATGGTCTGTTCCTAATACATCTTATCTTGTTGTAATCAGGAATATGTATATATGTAATCACAAAAGAGAGATCTGTATTAAATATATGATGTATATGTATATTGACATAGCTTATAAAACAAATACAAAGCCAGGTGTTTCCTTTTGAATCATCAAGTTTGGAATGAGTTTAAGCACATGTATGGGATGACTATAAGTACATGTATGGGATGACTATAAGCAGATGTATGGGATGAATATAAGCACATGTATGGGATGAGTATTAGTACATGTATGGGATGAGTATAAGCACATGTATGGGATAAGTATAAGTACATGTATGGGATGAGTATAAGCACATGTATGGGATGAGTATAAGTACATGTATCAGTTAACAGTTATTGAGTATGGTAAACCCATATTTTGATTTTTCTATCACCCATTTTCAAATATAGCATGATCGTTTGCTGCCAACAAAAAAGCTCAGTAAATTGTCCCTATAAGGTCACCTGTTGTTAGCAGACGATGTGCAAAGCATTATGGGAAATCAAAAGAAAATAGAGAATGTCTTATTTTCTAATAAAGATACATACATGTAAAGTCCAAAAATGATCTCTAGACTGTTGAAGCATTTTCATAGTTTTCTTTTTGTTCATGTACATCAATGCAAAAATATTGTATGTACATGCATCTTCAAATTACAAATTAATGTTGTTAATAAGTAATAGTTACTCCCATTAGGAGGTTTATACCATAACATTTGATTAAAAGTTATAATTTGGGTTACTTAAAATATTACACAGCATTTTATTGACAAATTTAATTTAAGATAATAAAAATGTTTGTTAAATGGTTAACATTAAAATATTGACATCTCAAAATCTTACAGAATAAAAACTAAAACAAAAAAGACAAAATTTTCTGTGTTTACCCATATACTCTTAGCCCCTTAAGTTATCTAACAAAACATCTATATAATGATACAACACAAAAAACAATATCAAAGTAGGGCCAGGTAAATCCAGCCAATAAATATGGAATATCATGAATAGGTCTGTAGTAGTCCATACAAACTACTATAGTATAGCAGGACCTGTCATACTGCATCAAAACAACATAAATACAACAACAGTATTCTTGTAGAGATTCATGAATCTAAAATTCTTCAATTCAATGGTCTTTCTGCAGTTCACAATTCATCTTATTAGTCTATATGACTTGGAACCTAACTGAATAAATAAATCTTTGCAGAAAACAAACTAGCTGGCAAGTGTTTGTACTCAATAATCATTGCAGTACATTTGGAATAACTAAAACACGTACTATATAAACATAATAATCTCCAATTGAAATCTCACAATATTCCATATAATCACAGATCTGCATGAATATATACAACACATAATAATCTCCTATTGATTTCTGCTCAAAATATTCCATATAATCACAGATCTGCATGAATATATACTACACATAATAATCTCCAATTGAATTCTGCTCAAAATATTCCATATACTCACAGATCTGCATGAATATATACTACACATAATAATCTCCAATTGAATTATGCACAGATCTGCATGAATATATACTACACATAATAATCTCCGATTGAATTCTGCTCAAAATATTCCATATAATCACAGATCTGCACGAATATATACTACACATAATAATTTCCAATTGAATTCTGCTCAAAATATTCCATATAATCACAGATCTGCATGAATATATACTACACATAATAATCTCCAAATTGAATTCTGCACAGATCTGCATGAATATATACTACACATAATAATCTCCAATTGTATCCTGCTCAAAATATTCCATATACTCACAGATCTGCATGAATATATACTACACATAATAATCTCCAATTGAATTATGCACAGATCTGCATGAATATATACTACACATAATAATCTCCAATTGTATCCTGCTCAAAATATTCCATATACTCACAGATCTGCATGAATATATACTACACATAATAATCTCCAATTGAATTATGCACAGATCTGCATGAATATATACTACACATAAGAATCTCCAATTGTATCCTGCTCAAAATATTCCATATAATCACAGATCTGCATGAATATATACTACACATAATAATCTCCAAATTGAATTCTGCACAGATCTGCATGAATATATACTACACATAATAATCTCCAATTGTATCCTGCTCAAAATATTCCATATAATCACAGATCTGCATGAATATATACTACACATAATAATCTCCAATTGAATTATGCACAGATCTGCATGAATATATACTACACATAATAATCTCCGATTGAATTCTGCTCAAAATATTCCATATAATCACAGATCTGCATGAATATATTCTACACATAATAATCCCCAATTGAATTTTGCTCAAAATACACATAATAATCTCCGATTGAATTCTGCTCAAAATATTCCATATAATCACAGATCTGCATGAATATATACTAAACATAATAATCTCCTATTGAATTCTGCTCAAAATATTCCATATGATCACAGATCTGCAGGACTTAAATGTCACATTATGTTTATTGTCATAAATAGGCCTATATGTACACATATTGAGTCATTTTGTAAGTCACAGATCCATTATTGAATTCACAAATGTTACATTAGACATGTATTGAGTGAGTTTCTATGTCATAAATCTACACACCAAGTATTATGTAGAAGTATAAAATAAATATGAAGTGAAATGTCACAGACCTGCAAATCAAGTAACACATCACAGATGAACATATACAATTTAAAATTACATGTACAGATGTTATATCAGGCTTAATGTTACAGATCTATATGTCGAGTTTAATGTCATGGGTTTAAAGTTTTGTGTCTCAGATGTACGTATCAATTTTAATGTCACAGATTTACATATTAAGTTTAATGTCTTAGATCTACATATCAAGTTTAATGTCTCAGATCTACATAATATCAAGTTTAATGTTACAGATCTACATGTCAGTGTCCCAGATGTACATGCTGTCCCATCTTTCTTCTAACCCCTTGTTTCAATTCAACTCCCCGATGCTTCCAGGATTGTTGGTGTAGACATTAAGATCAGATAAGTAAAAAAATACTGACTTGGGCAAGGCTAACATTATCTTGGAAGAACTAAAAAGATTGCATCAACCGAGCATCTGTTTAAACACGATAGATATCAACTTTATATAAAATCAACATTTTATCAGGAAAACCTGTCAAGACAGCCTGTTTATTATTTCAATTCTAGTCTTGATTTTCTTCACCGTTATTCAACATGTTGATTTATACAACACTTTCATATGACACTGAATTATTGGCCTGTGAGATGTACGATGTTCCTGTAGCTTGAGATCCTGGAGTTCTCCTCCGATCTATACTTTCACCACCAGGGGTGGAGTACCCAGGGGTAGAATAGCCAGGGGTCAGGCTTATTGGCATACCATTGTAGCTCACCTGAAACAGAAAGTAATTTCATCATTCAATTTTTTGATTTTTAATGAAATCTCGTGAAGTTATTTGCATAACAGCAATAAAGACACCCCAATGGATTGTTTTATAACGAGTAAGCCGATTAATACATTCAGAATGAGGATATGAACATGCACTCAGAGGAAATTCATGGGACATAATCTTTCATTTTACTTGCATGATTTTGCATAATTATATGAATTATTGGAGCTAAGATTTTCAGCTTTGAAATTTTATGGCCATTTATTCCCTTCTGGACTATAATTTAAACCCCTACTATGAAACTGGGCTAGAACTTATTAAATACTCAGCAGAATGTTTTCAAATTACTAGGATATATTGGTATCGGGTAACTTACTGTGTTATAAAAAGTTCATGTCACATGGAAACGGATAAAACATACCCTCCAACCTCAATTTTTATGCATTTTCCAGGATTACACTGCACTCAACCACAAACAATTTGTCTGTTTTCTACCATACCGCACTTCATAGTATAAAATTGTGTATTTCTGTAATACTTATTACACATAGTAGCAGATCTACCTACCTTGACAGAGCTTCCATTCATACTGCTATATGACATAGCTGGGTTTACAACACCCAGTGCAGCTTTAGGGTCAGTCCAAATGCCATTAACATAATTCACCAATCTCCGATGTTTCACTAGTGCTGGGCCCCACTCAATTGATGGTGTCGTAACTCGGCGTAGATGCTATCATGAAACAATTTGTAACTTTGAGTCATTCGAAAAATATATGCTCAAACTTCAAAATGTCAAAAGTACATTTCAATCCTGATACAAATTACAAAGTTAAGTTTCGTACATTTCCCTGACATTATTCTCAATTTCCCTGGCACTTAGGCCCTGTTGTGGAAAATAAATGCATGCAGGCGTTT